AGGTGAGTCAAGTGAGGACTTGCACTGAAAAAAAGTGTTTGAGAAACTCTTACAAAGAGAGCACCTCATTCCTTATACCCAGGTAAATCCTTCAAATGCTTGATGAGTGGCCACATGGCAGACAGGAAAGTTTAGAGTCAATTTGGCCTTATTACCACTAGTGAAATTCCCCATAATCTAATTTTGCTAGCATTTTGTTACCTGGCTGTGGTATGGCTTCACTCTTGAGAGTGAAGCTATAACATTTCACTCTTCTTTGTCCAGTGAAACTCTTTAAAGGCACTCTAAAAGCTTGTGTGAAGTTCAGAAGATGTGTCATATTCACTGCTAAATTCACAATCATATCAGTTTATGAACAAAATGAAACTTCTATTTATTTGTAATACATTTTTGCTTCCTTTCTAGGTTAAAAAGATCTTTGTACATCTCTCTTTTTTGTTACAAACAAATGGAAAAACAGTATCACCATTTCTTCAAGGTCTTCATATGCAAGAAGATTGAGAGCCTTTAGCAGAGGCAACCGTTACTGAACAGGGCATGTTGTGGAGGCTGACATAGGATTACAGAAAAATTACACATTCTTCTGTTGACAATTTTGATACACTAGGGCTGAAGATGCAAATGCCAAGGCATAGCTTAGAGTCGCCCTAAAGCTTCTTTAAGTTGTGTTTGGGAAACAGTTGTCTCCACGTGGTTCTTGGATTCAAGGAGATCGTTTTAGTATATTTTGAAAGCATGTTTAGTTCACATCATCTCTTCTGTAATTATTCTAGGCATGCCACTGTCATGACCAGTGATCTGGCTTCTTCGTTTTCATTTTTCCTTTAATAAAATTGCAAAACTTAAACTTCTTATCTGTCTCTCTGATTATGTCTGTGTAAACTGCAGTAAGTAGAAAAGTCTAACATAGATTTGTGTTAGCATGATGATATAGTCCACAACATATAAAACTAATGCAATATAAATATCAGAGATTCACAGTTCCTCTCATATTGCTAATTAGATGTGCTGTTTTATTAATTTGTACTCATGTTCTTATATTGTCATTGAAGCAGTATCCTGGATTTATAGTGTACTGTGCTAGGTGCTGTGCAGAATCAACCTACACTGTCATGCTCAGTGGCATGTATGTAGGCGGCATGTCAGTATAAGTCACAACTGGCCGGAGTTCTAGCCATATTAATGCTACTGTCTCTGTATTGCCATAACTTTATCCTTGTGACATGTTACTTTACACTTATATAGATTTAAATGAGTGCTTTTGCTGATCTACATAAATTGGACCCCACCAATATGCAGTGCTTTATAGTGAAATAAAGAAATGGTTTTGGTATTAACTTTGATAGTTAAAATGGATAAGTTGCAGAAGAAGATGCATGCTAGCAGTTTTACAGGGAAAGCTTTTCCCAAGTTGTCTGTTACCTGATTTTTACCTTCCAGCTGAAGGTAACAATTCAAAGAAGCCAGAGTGATGGAAGCTAGGTCTAGAAGGAAGATAATACATATAAATCTGTTTGCCTGTGTTTTCTATATGTTGTTTCACTAAAATTGTGGGTTTCTTATCTCTGCAAAGGGATATGGTATTTTAGAAATGGCTGCTTTTATCCAAGGATATGTGTATAAAATTATTGCAATTTATCCCAAGTAATCCAGTTCAACTGGGAATACAGTAACTAATAGGATGTCTCTTCTGAGCAGGAACTTAGCTTATTTTTAATTAAGAAAAATCAATACATGCTTAAAGTTATCTATTTTAGAGTGGATTCTGTGTCTGGCATGCACATAGGCTTTAATAGTACTATTGAACTGATCGTAAGAGGTTGGCCATCATGATAGTGCTTGTATGGGCAATGTTTGTATGTTTTTACAGGTATTCCTCATTATAACTTTCTCTAGTGGTAATGTTGCTTTGGTAAGGTAAACGTCAGATACTTTAAAGCTAGATTATCTGTGTTTCTCTAGGTTTTGTTATATCCTAGCTGAGTCAAACTATTTCAGTCAGTAAGACCAACTTATAAAACTACCCCCAGTCTGAGGAGTCCTTGGAAATCTAGTTTTAAATGCTTTCTCTGATACTTATTATTGTACTTCTGGATACCTCCTGAGAACTGGGAAGAAAGAGGGTAGCACAGGTCTCTGACCAGGTCAGTTTATTTTGTACAGATGGTGCAAATGAGAAGAAATTGTTGTATTTCCCTTGAGAACTCCCTCTGCAAATATAAAACCAGGTTATTTAGTTCCTTTTTTCCCTATATATTCACTGACAAAGGTGGCTGGAGTACATTGAGCACAAGTTCAGCTTGCTGTTTGTTCTTGGCCTTGGAGGCTGGGTCTGAACAGGAAATTCAGGAGCTTTATCATACTGTCCAACCTCATTTCCATACCATTAGTGAAGTGTCAAGCTAGACTATCTGTCCTCCCATCTGAATCTTGCTCCAAAAAGATGAACATTAATAAAGAAGGTTGTTCATACAAGTGTGCAAAAGACGAAGGTAAGGGATCTTATTGCATGTTCAAGAACTGACAGACAGTTTGAGAGAGACTCCTTTCAGGACTCCGGCAGATCAGCTGCATAGACGCTTTCCAAATGGCATCCAAACAGCAGTGCATAACAGCAAAGAGCCTTACTAGCTCCAGGTTAAGGATTATGTGAGAAGACAATAAGCACAATCTCAGGCAACAATTTTATACCTTTATGTTTTCTTTTCAAGGTGGATCATAGCCCACCTTTCGAAAAGGAAAATAAACAATGTGTTCTTTCACCCTGTAAAGCTCCTTGCCATCTACAAAAATAAACGGAATTTCAAAACCTTTTGCTACTAGTGTGATTGTAACTGATGCCACAAGAAAAATAGATGAAAAATCCGGAGCTGGGCTTTTGAGCACTGTATGCTTGCAGAATGGTCTTAGACTTTTTTCTCCTGTCTCTTCCTAACCCCAAATACTTGCTGCCCACTTGTCATCTGGAAAGCTGGAAGAATGAAGCAGTGGTGAAAAATCTTCGGCTGGGGAGGGAACAGAAGATGATGGATATTGTATATGCAGGGTGCCCTTCCACTGCCCTTCAGTAAAGGGATGGGATGGGAACCACCGCATTGAGAATTAGCATATTTGTTGAGAGTCAACAGGAGCTTCTTGTCCCACTTTGCATGGAGATCATTCCCAGAGACTCTTTGGCACTGCCTCATCAGCTCCAGCCGCCTGCTTCCCACATGTCACTACTGCAGTCTGAGTGTGCTCTCTGCAGTGGAGCCTTCAAGGTAGCTTTCTTACTCCAGTGCTGAACTGTGTTCTGTTGCTATGCTAAAAAGAAGGTACAGGGCATATCATCTTCTAAAACAAAGTTCTTTGAGGGTTTATCTTCTAGTGTGTCTTTGAAAACCCGTGAAAAGTGACCACTCCAATCTTCATCTTGAAACTGGTTAACAAATTTTATACCAAGCATTTTATCCTACACTTGTTCTGGACACATGAGTTTCTCCATCAATGAGTAAAGAAGAAACTGCTCTTAAGAAAGTGCACATTTGTATTTTTAGAATACAGAAACTCTGGAATTTTAAATGTATATGTGGCTAATCATAGCCTGGGGTATTTATATTTGAACAAATGTATTTGGAAATTTATTTGAAATATAGTTGTATATTTTAATTTCCATTGCATATTCAGTTGGTTATTCCCTCAAACTTGTCAACATGTAGATGATTTAACCATTTTGATGCAGTATGTATGACCAGGTGAGTACTGAATGTTACTGCCTTATAGTAAGATACCTTGGAAGAGCAGCACTCTGTGAGGCTTGCAACCCCCCTGACCCACTGTTATCACGTTTTTATGGGTGACAGTGAAGTGATAATTCTTTGATAAGAGGAAACAGTTCTACATGAAGCACTACTGTGATTTGTTACTGTGAACTTTGCTGCCTCTAAGATAAAGGCAGGTGGGTGACGTAGGGAGAAGGCTGCTGCAAGCACTGTTCCCTCACGCATGAGGATGCTAGAGCAGGGCTGCAAAGCAGCCAGGGAGCAACCAGTGTTGCCTCTGTTTCCCATTGAATTGCAAGGGCTCCAGGTTTGTGCCTTGCTCAAAATAGCAGAGAAAAGGCTGTGTGGCCAGGGATTCAGGCATTTTACTGGCATGAGGAGTCTCTTCTGTCTTTGATGGTTACATCTTCATCCTTCACACAGGCATTGCTTTGTCTCCTCCCATGTCAGGGTGCTCTCACAGTGTAGGACATCCAGAGAACACACTAAGAGCAAGGAGATGGGGGATCCAGATTCATGAGGCAGAAGTGGAGTGTATTCCTGTAACATAGGGTTGAAGGTGCCCCAAATTCTCCCTTCTTCTGACAGCTTCTCCACAAGATGGGGCCCTTCAGGACATTCTCTTCCTCTTGGGAACATGTCCCTTGCTTCCTCCCTCCTGTCACTGGGACTCAAAACAGTGTCACCAGCCTTTGCCTGTGTCCTTTCTGCCTTTCCAGGCTTGGCTGCTGTCTTATAGATCTCCCCTGGGATTTTGTGGTCCAACACAACATTGGCAGACCTAGGAGAGAGACCACACTCCCTTCCCACCACAGGCCCTTGTTGATTAGCAGACTGGCCCTGTCCTCACCTAACCTGGCAGCATTGTGTTGAAGCTTAGAATAAAAAGTCAATAATATTTGATTGGTTCTTGATTTGAACAGTGTGTTTATTTGTCTGCTTTCTATAGACTTTTATAGGCAGTTGCATGTTTTTTGTGGGGGAAATGCCTCATGTGACCATGGGTGAGGAGGCTCTTGCCTGTTCTGTCACACTAGCTGTAGAATCCACACAGACTACAAGGGCTAAATGCATCTGTCCAGTAGCTGACACTAACACTGCGCCCTGCTATGCTATAGGATAGCCAAGCACTAGCTTTTGCTTTATAAACCAATGTAGCCTCTTGCTGTATAAACCAGCTTAGGACAATGGTTGACCGTGTGGCTATGACACTAACCTGCATGTGCATTCTTTCTGCAGGTAACGATCTCTTTCTGGTTGCAGTCCATGAGCTGGGACACGCGTTGGGTCTGGAACACTCCAATGATCCCAGTGCTATCATGGCTCCTTTCTACCAGTACATGGAAACACACAACTTCAAACTGCCCCAAGATGACCTCCAAGGAATTCAGAAAATCTATGGTGAGCAACACTGTCCACTCATCTATTTATAGTGAGCCCAAGTGTAGTAAGTGTTTTACCACCACAAACAGGTAGCTCCCCAGATGCTTGCAGCCAGTGGACTGAATTTTGTACTGTAGCTGAATTTGGGACCATTTAAAACCCTTCATCTGCAACCAAATATGTCTGTCCCTGTAGCAGTGTCAACCTGCAAATCAGAATAAATGAACTTCTGTGATCTTGGTACTCCTCCATGCTTCACTGTACACCCCTCCAAAAAAAGATTTAATGGTGAGATTTAATAGAAAGTTTAGTTTATTTTTACTTTAGCAGAAAGTAGAAATATAAAGGTTTAGTAGAAAATGCTGTTCCCGAAGGTTATCTTTCAGGATTGCCTTCCTCTGGCAGACCCTGCACCTTCTATCATCTTTCTGCAAATTCAAGTAGAGAGGAGGCATATGAAGAATATGAAGTAAAACCGATTTATGCATTTTTTTTCCTGCATCTATAGAAGAAAGGGAAAAGATGTTCAGATCCGCTTAGGAAATATTTCTTTTAATGTCCAGTTGAAAAAAAATAAGAATATTATTGCGTAACATAAAATTATGGGTTCAAGGAAAAAAGGAGGCAAAAGGATTTGGAAGGAGAGCTAGAGTGTTGGAGATGATGTGGCACCATGTGAAAAAATAAGGGATGCAAACACAATGGCTTTCAGAAAATGATGTGCAGGTGGCTGAAGAGGAGGAGAGCAGAAGGAAAGGCAGATTTTAAGAGCCACAAGGGAAATCCGAGATAGAAGAATCTAACAACTGTGAGGTGCTGGATCTTCTGCTTCTCACTGCCTTCAGATGAGGTCTGCACAGTTTGTTGAGTAAAGGTGATTGTTCTTCAGGAACTTTTGCCAACAAATTTCCCTTGTATTCCTCTGCATTTCCTGAGCTGTTATTAGGAATAGGTCCTGCTCTATGAACAGCCACTACAAGGAGTCACTGTTTGCAAAGTGAGCTAGGCAGACCAGTCATTTAAGAACTGCAGCATGCATATCCTCTGTGAAGTTAATAAAGAAAACGACTCTTCTGTAGATGATAAACACAAGAGTGCAATGTTCCCTGATCTTGTCTGTACGTGGCTATCTCAATTGCTTGTGTTTTCCAACAGCGTAAGGTCTGTTTCTTTTATTTTTTAAGATTGTTTTCTCTCTGTGAATGCAACAAAGTGAAAAGAGCAAGCAAAATGACACAGGTAGCTGGAGAACAATTTAGTCTGGGATCACTCCTCCAACAAATGAAGGAAGAGCTGATACCAGGTTCAGTTGCCAAAAAGGGTAACGTGGGAAAGTAATGAAAGGTGGCTGAAATAGCTTGTGGAAAATAGCCTTCGTAAAAGAAGACAGAGTTCATTCTTTGAGGAACTCGCAAATTTCACAGATTACTTAATAGTAGCCTTGAGCCTTATTTAGCTATTCAGTGTCCACAGCTGCATATTATCTGAATTAAAATGTTAATACTCAGAATCAGTAGAGCAGATATTATATGAACTAGAGCTGTGCCCACAGCTGCATGTTATCTGAATTAAAATGTTAATACTCAGGATCAGTAGAGCAGATACGATATGAACTAGAGCTGAAAAAATGTAGGTAGTCACTGTCAATGGGAAATCATCATAGAAAGCTGGTGTTTCTGATGGGTTGCTTCTGGGATTAATGGTAGACCCTGTCCCGATCAGAATTTATATCTGCTGTCTGTCAGTGAAATTAAACCTATTGCTAACAGAACTTGTGCCAAGGCAGATAAAAAACCTAAGCAGTGTAGAAAGACTTTAGATGTCTAAACTATGTATGTCAATTATTTTACTCTGAATTTTTCCTTTCGTGATATGGAATAAAACTGATTCGTCTCAACATAAATGCATAAAGAAGAGACATCTCTGTCTGGGCAGGTTTTCTTGACACCTGTATAGGCAATAGACAGGCATTTGTAGAGTGCAATTCATCACGCTGCAAAGTAGATATATAAATAAGGTTCAATATTTAAAATAAGATGGTTTATAATGTACACAGGAGACATTGGCTCTTTTCCAGCAGTGTAACAGGTTTTCTCTTCAGTGTTCGTTAACAGGATGAAGTTATATGGCAGTTGTCCTGTAGCATCTTGCATTCTTTTACACAGTAAAATAGAATCATAGAATCATAGAATGCTTAAGGTTGGAAGGGACCTCTAGAGATCATCTAGTCCAACCCCACTGCACACACAGGGTCACCTAGAGCACGTGGCACAGGACTGCATCCAAGCGGGTTTTGAAGATCTCCAGAGAAGGAGACTCCATAACCTCTCTGGGCAGCCTGTTCCAGTGCTCTGTCACCCTCACTGTTCAGAAATTTTTCCTTAAGTTCATGCGGAACTTCTGATGCTTCAGTTTGTGGCCATTACCTCTAGTTCTGTTGGTGGTCACCACTGAAAAGAGACCAGCACCATCCTCCTCGCTGCCTCCCTTGAGGTACTTATATACACTGATCAGGTCCCCTCTCAGCCTTCTCTTCTCCAGGCTGAACAGGCCCAGCTCCCTCAGTCTCTCCTCATAGACCAGATGATCTATCCCCCTGATCATCCTTGTAGCCCTGCACTGGCCTCTCTCCAGCAGCTCCACATCCCTCTTGTCCTGTGGAGCCCAGAACTGGACACAATACTCTTGGCCACGAGGGCACACTGCTGCCTCATGGTCAACTTGTCGTCCACCATGACACCCAGGTCTTTCTCCGCAGAGCTGCTCTCCAGAAGGTCGGTCCCCAGCCTGTACTGGTGTCTAGGGTTATTCCTCCCCAGGTGCAGAACCTTGCACTTGGCCTTGTTGAATTGCATGAGGTTTTTCACCGCCCAGTTGCCCAGTCTGTCCAGGTCCCTCTGGATGGCAGCGCAGCCCTCTGGAGTATCAGCACTCCTCCCTGTTTGGTATCATCAGTAAACTTGCTGAGGGAGCACTCTGTGCCTTCATCCAGGTCATTGATGAATAAATTGAACAGGACTGGACCAAGGACGGAGCCCTGGGGGACACCACTAGCTACAGGCCTCCAGCTAGACTCTGCACCGCTGATCACCACCCTCTGAGATCTGCCATCCAGCCAGTTCCTAATCCACCTCAATACTTTGGATGAGAGCAGTTCTTCTGGATGGCTTTTAAATTAAGTGCTGGGATAATAAGCAATAAACCTTCATTAAATAAAGTGCCCAAGTTTTCATTTTTGAAAGATGCTAAAAATTGAGGGCAATACTAAGGCCAGCAGGGCAGGGGCCTTGCAGGCCCAGTGGCAGTGGAGTCAACCAAGAGTCCAGGTAATCAAAGAAGTTTGTGGTGATGAGACAGATCCAAGTCTAGTCCAGGACATCAATCCATAAGTTGAGGTGAAGATCAGGTCTGATGATGGCAGCCAGGTTCAGTCACAGTCCAGTGATTGTTGGGCTCATCCATGGTGATGGGGCAGATCTGAGACCAGGACAGGTGGTCTCCACAGCTGCAGGTTGGGACCAGGCCCATGGCTGGGAAGGGCAGGTCTGTGGCAGAGCTAGAGACCAGCACTACTACGGTGTGCTCGGCTGAGCCGAAATGGGGTCCTGGGCCATGGTCAGAGGCATATGAGTGGCGAGGGGAGGCTCGCCAGGGTCCCGAGAGCATATTCCTGAAAGAACATCACAGCAGCTTGCTCGCTGAGAAGCAGCACCACAAGAATTCCACTTCTTTTTTACTTACCTTGTAGCATTCAACTTCAGCCGTATGCCAAGTTAAGACTCATCTTGTACAATAAAACACACTTGAAATTTAAACTCATCTTGAAAAAAAAGCAAAATGAACTTACTACTATTTGATGTGGTCTGAGTTTGTTGACTATCCTTAAGTCAGTCAAGGCTTATCTCGGAGACCTTCAAAATGGAGTGGCTGGGGATGGTGGTGATTATAGAGATATCTGGTCCTGCTCAAGAAGCAACAACAGCTTCTGCATTTAGCTCGTTGTTTCTCTGTGTAGAAATTTCAGCCTTGAGCACAGAGTTCTGACCCAGAAAATGAAGCTTAGTTTTAAAATAGGTCTAATCCTTAAGGGTTACAAAAATGGAAAATATAGGTTATGTTTCTTCCTGAAGCAGAAGATAGTAGATAAAAGGACAGATTTTTTTTTGTCTGAATTCCTTTCAGCTGAAAATTAAGCACTGAAATGTTTTTCTTGTAGCCTTAGCAGGAACATTCAACTAAATGCATTTTTCCTTCCACAATACCAATCCACGCTTTTGTGGATCATCATGCTTTGGGAATGCTAAAAGCCCCTCTAACCTCCAAATTTTCATTCCACTGGAGTTTCTAGAACAAAGAACAAAGGCTATACTAAAATTTAAGTCCATTTTATCTCTTTGGGCATTATATGTTTTGAGTATATGTTTATGTTGTATCAGTATTTAGCCATCGGAAAAAGAATATGTCTGACTGTCATGTAACTGATTTGTTGAATGGATTTTTCTTCTTGAATGGATTTTTTCTGAATATATTTCAAAGTCACCTAAAGAGACAGTAGGTGATGTGAAATCTTTTTTTTTTTTTGTGCTTGATCTGCTTAGTATTGGGTCAGTGTGTAAAATGTTATTTCTACTTGGTAACTAATGATGAGAGGGGCCAGCAGCTGAATGTGTGGGTCAGAGTAGGCTGGAAGTCAAGTCATCAGTATTTCCAGCTTCAGAGAAGTGCTCATTGTAACATGTTCCATGAAAAAATAGGGGAAATATTGTGATTGCTTATTTCATACCTTTTTCAGAAGAATCTCTCCTACTTTATTTATCTGCCCATGTTATAAGTGACATGCCTAGGAAGGAATTAAATTGGAAATAATACTCATGTGTAGGTCATTTGGTTAAGTGGCTTCTTTACTTGTCAGTGTGTGGTGGTCAGAGTAGCGGGCAACTGCAGTGCAGGAGAGAAGAGACATAGTCAGTCATGGCCTTTCCACATAGCCTGAACTGATCATCTTTCAGCAATGGTTCATCTGTTCTCCATGTCCTTCTCCAAGAATCCTTTTGCAGTGGACTATGAAGCAGCCTCTTATGTGAGGAATGTCTCTCCTGGTACCATGCTGGGAAGACAGAGAGGTTCCCGTGATGTGCAGAACAAAATGATTCCCACATAGATACTTGGAGAAAACAAAACAAGATGAAATATTTGCTGCTGGCAAAATATCTAAGTGGCAATGGAAGTATATAGGCTGCCACATGGCCCTAGGCAGG